CCCCGATGGCTTCGATTCTCCAAGGGTGCGGACAAAGCGCTTCCTGGACCAGGGCCCTCCTGCGCGACGTCCTCGAGAGGGCCCACCACCAGATCCCAGGGGCCACGATCCGAACCTGGTTTGACGACATCAGGGCCCGTCTTGTGCGGAGCCCAGAGGCCCTGCAAGAAGCCTTCCCAGAGCTTATCATGCAGTTATGTGGGGGACTCGCTGACCTAGGATGCCGTCTCTCTGGTAAGTCTGTGGCCCTGGCCAGCTCCGACGACATCCGCGCCGCGGTCGCCGACGAACTCAATCAGGCAGGGGTCCAGATCAGACCCGCCCAGCACGCTCGGGATCTGGGGGTCGACACCACGATCGGGGAGAAAAGGGCCCTGGGGGCCCGCCGAACCCGTCGTCGTCTCGGAGTGCAGAGACACAAGAACATCAAGAAGCTGGCCAAGACTACAACCAAGGCGCGACCACTTTTCCGCACAGGCGCCCTGCCGCAGCTGAAGTGGGGCATGGGGGGGCGCGGATCAGCACCGACCGAAGTCCAGTATTTCCGCCGATTGGTGGGAGCGGCACATGGAGTTTCTAAAGCAGGGGCCTGCCTCACCACTGGCCTCCACACCCGCCCAGGACACCCATCTAACATGGATCCAGGGATCTATCTTCGGGTCTTCGGGCCCAGCTGTTCACGATGTGGTTTCGGGCTATCAATACCGAACTCAGCATCCTCGGAGGCATCCAGAAGGCTTGGGGGACTCTGAGGGAGAGGCCCAAGAGACCATCAAGGTGGCTCATGGTCAGGTCCCACTTGTCCGCGACCATCGCCACCCTGTACGACCTAGGCTGGACCCCAACCTCGGCATGGCTCTGGAGAGACCCCGAGGGCCTAGATTTCCCCGTCAAGCAGCTGAGCCGGGACAACCAGAAGGTTTTCATGTTTCACTTGGAGTTCCTCTTGAACATGCATGCATGGAGAGCAACCTGCCCCCTCAGCCACAACTCTGGAGGCCTTCAGGAGGGGGGGGGGGGGGGGGGCACTCCCCGCGGCTCTACCCTGCCAGAAAGCGGGCCGCCACCAAGAAGCGGGAGAAGCAGCTAGCCGAATACCCCCTCCCCCGAGCCCGACAAGTTCAGGCCCAGGAGGAACTCCAGCGAGAAGCAACGTTCCCAGCAGCTTTAGAGGCCGTCTCCTGCTCGAGGTGCTGGAGCGCCCGCCGCAGGTTTGAGAGCGGCCAGCAGGACGACGCCGAATGTCCTCTCTGCGGGCAAGAGCACGGAGATGATTTACACAAATTTTGGACGTGCCCTGAATTGGGAAGTCTCAACATCCCCGCCATCAATCGGACCCAAAGCTCCATAGATCGGGCAGTGGCCGAGCCCCCAATGGAATCCAGTCTCTGGCTCCGAGGGATCATCCCTGCCGCGATCATACGTCAAGTTCATGGGCACATTCTGGGACTAGATCAGGACACGGTCCGAAAAAGGAGTGTTAAAACAGCATGCAGTCTATCAGTTCGGTGACTGGCAGGTGGCAGCAACAGACGGCAGCGGAGGGCCTCACGCGCAGGACCCGCGCACCAGAGTCTGCGGCTGGAGCGTATCCTTGTGGGCACACGATCTCACCTGGAAAGGAACCATCCAGGGAGGCATCATCGGCCCGCAGACCGCGCCGCTGGCGGAGCTCGAGGCAGTCATTGCGCTGCTGGGGTCCACCCGCGGCCGCCTCATCATCGTGATTGACTGTGCCTATGTGATCAAGGGTTTCAACAGAGGCCCACGCTTTCGGCACCCCGAGAGCCAGTTCACTTGGCAGAAGTTCTGGACCCAGGCCAAAAACCGACGGGACAGTACGATCTTCTACACAGTGAAAAGCCATCCCACTGAAGAAGAAGCCGCTCGAGAGCCTCTCTGGGCCCTACATCTCAATGGCCATGCCGACATACTTGCTGCGGGAGCAGCACAGTGGCGTCAAGTCCCAGGGCCCCTCGTTCGGCACCTCCAAGGCACTGATACTCGCGCTGATCTCATCAGGGACAGATTGGCAGCAGTTCAGAACCACTACTGGAGCCACAAAGACCCACTGTGCCTCGAGGAGGATGAGGATGCCAAGGAGACCCGTAGGAAAGTGAAGGTGGAGCGTAGCGCTGCAGCCTTGCAGGTTGAGCTGTCTAGGACGCCCCACACTCCCTCTCTTCTGCTCCTGCCCCTCCCCTTTTCCAGATCGCTTGCCATGTCTGTGGCAAGCGTGGTAGCGTCATCAAGGGAACACCCAGGTGGCTTCAGACCCCCTGCGTCCCCCCAGGACCGCAAAACCGTTTTCACCCGTCCCACGGGCCGTTCATCAAGAAGTTGAATGGTGTCCTTTGGTGCTCCCGATGCGGAGCCTGGACCATCCGTGCAGCCAAGAAATTCAGGGAGCCCTGTGCACCACCAACAGAAGGGGGCACCAAGGCTCTCCAGAAGCTTACCCAAGGTGAGCCACCGCCAGGCCTCAAAGCCTGGCCCGATGGGCCCACATGAGGTCCATCCACGGCTGCTCCCACGCGGGGAGACCAGGACCGCTGCTTGGGCGCGAGCGCGGGGGAGGAGGGGGAGGAGGAGGACGAGGAGGGGGAGGAGGGGGAGGAGGGGGAGGAGGGGAAGGAGGGTGATGATGGACGACACTGGGAGGACGATGATGGAGGCCGATGAGGGGGAGGACGACAATGGGAGGACGATGATGGAAGGACGAGAGGGGGGAGAGGGAGGACGAGGAAGAAGAGGAGAAGGAAGAGGAGGACGAGGTGGACGAGGAGGAGGAGGATGACGATGAGGTTGAGGACGAGGACGAGGAAGAGGAGGAGGAGGAAAAGGAGGAGGAGGAGGAGGAGGAGGAGGAGGAGGAGGAGGAGGAGGATAGCGCCATCGACAGGGAAGGTCGGAGCCACGAGGTCCGCCGGCTCGACGACGCCCGCGTCGCCCGCGCCCGCCCTCTCACTCTTATCCACAATTGCGGGGTGCTACGTACCAGTTGCCAGCAACACCGTGCCGACCGACGAAAGCTCCGGGGCGAGCTAAACGAAGCTGTGCAGACAAACAGGATCAGCTACACCATGCTGCGCTGCTCCCCCACTCACAACATGACTTCGTACCGTGACCCACCACGGACCGCGGTCGACGCCGAAACCCACCAGGGTAACGGCAAGGCCATCTCATCAGCCAGGATGGTTTGGATGCACCCGCTTGGGATGTTCTTGTCACCGCCGCGCCCGCGAAAGAGGGCGACGGGGCGTCGTGCACCAGTAGTTTCTTTTTTTCGCACGCTGCAGGAAGGCGACCGCCTGGCACAGCAGATCCGAACACAAGACGAACCTCTAGCGCTCGCAAAATTGGGACCTATCAGCACCGATTACCCGGGACGCGAGATCCTCGTCCCGTCTCCAAGCCAACGGCGGGGTTCAATCAAAGAAGCATTCATGCTCGGACGGGGCAAGGTAAAACGCCCCCGCGAACGTCGCTCAGTGAAGACATGCTCGACCCAGGCGACAACCTGGTCTGGATCCGCGCCGCCATCTGTGAGGCTGTCCCTGTTGCGGCCGCGCCCGCGCTCGATGAAGCGTTCACGGCGCAGTTTCCGGGCGCTGCGCCCCTCGACGGCGGGCGTGCGCCAGCAGCTGGCCGACTCCGGGCAACGCCCCCTGCGGGCAGAGCCGCCGCCTGTGCCCAGTTCGGGGGTCGATAGACCTCCTACCCTGACACGTCGATTAGCGACTTGGCCGCTTTCGGTTCGCGAGGTGGCGTCGCGGCCGTCACTTTGCGGGTCCAGGTCCGTCGGTTTCGGTCCCAGGCCGTTTTCACCAAAGGGAGGTTTACTAAAGGAAGGTTTGCCCACCGCCGACCAGTTCCCGTGGAGGCGAGACGCGAAGGCTTGAACTTGTCGCGCACGCAGGCCTCCCAGTGCTCGCTGCCAGGAGCGGGGAGCGGATTGTGATCCAGATATGGGATATGGGGGAGGAGAGTGCCATTCATCTCCGTGGCGGTGTTTTTCGCCTTGCTCGCGTGCGTCGCCACGGTCGGGCGGTCGTGGGCGTCGACAGATCTCGCCCGACTCAAAGGGGAGGAGGAAGGTTCTTCGGCCACATTGGGCCGCCAGTGTAGTCCATCGGGCTGTCTTGCATCATCTTTGGGCCACTTTGACGCCATCTCGAGACCATCATGACAACACCATGGGGTTGCACGGGCTTTTGCTTGCGCTCTTGGGCGGGTTTCGTTCATTCTTGGCGGGCTTCCGCTCCGACCTCGGCCTCATCGAGGTCCGTAGACCCCCCAGGGCCGCCCTCGCACGCGCGGAGTGGACATCTATACGATCCGTTTTGAGTTGCACGTGTGGAGAGCATATCACGCCTGTGGCCCGCTGGGCTGGCGAAGTGATGCTCTGGCATTCATGAGTTTGTGGCCCGCGGGCTGGAGAACATATCACGCCTGTGGCCCGCTGGGCTGGCGAGTTTGTGTTTTCAGATTGTCTCAAGATGGGTTCCAAAGGCCTCCGAGAGGGCTAACTGCGTTGCCAGGATGCCCCCAGGCAGCCGCCCCGAGATCCTGGGCGAGGGGGCCCACGATGACGGCGAAGCTAGCCAGGGCCACCTTCCAGGCTCTCCCCGCGACGAGCCTCTAGGAGGAGCTCTGTTGGCTCACTCTCGCGCTCCTCCCTCCCCTCGATCGCCTTGCCCCTCCTCAAGAGCCGGCGGGCGGCATTGTAGACTGTCGCAGTTCTTGTTTCCGCCATAGGTGGCCTCGCACCGCACACGAGCGTCGCACCACACAAGAGCGGGCCGCGCATGCAGCTCAGAATTCCAGCGCCCTGGCGCCAAGACCGCAGCATTCTGGGCAGCGCCCATGCCCCAGGAGTGTCATGCCTCGCACCCTCCTGCCAGAGGGGGCGCATGTTGCGCGGCCATTTTTTGAGCAGCCAGGAGGGTAGGCGCTCCAGGGCCGCTTCCTGCGCCCGCCCCCCCCCCCCCCCTGGGGAGGCGACCTGGAAGACCAGGCGCAGCTGCCGACTATGATCCCCAAGTGCCTGCAGGTGAGCTGGCTCCCCCCCCCGCAATGCCGCGCCCCTCGTGCGCGGCCGGCGCTGCCGTCGCGCAGTGGCCCGCGGAGGTCGATCTAAGGCTGACCCAAGGATCATGGGCGTTCTCGGGGGGTGCCCCACGGCTGGACGCGGCTCTGGAACTCTGGCCGGGATGGGCCCCGGGAGGGCTCCAGGTGTTGGGTTTTTGAGGGGACGCCGGTGGCGGGTGCAGCGAGGGGGGGCGGCCTTCTGAGAAGGCAAGGGTTTCTCATGGCAGCCCTGCTTCCTCACAGGAGGCCCTCCAGAAGCCTCCGATCCCTTCCGAGAGGCGCCCTGCCTCCTCAGTAGGCCGCCCCCTAGGGAGGGAGAGAGTGAGGGAGGGAGGGAGGGAGGGAGGGAGGGAGGGAGCAGAGCAGAGCAGATCCTCATGGAGTCCCTGTCAAGATCACGACCTCGAAGCTCGAAAAAACTTGACTGTACTCTGAGAGGGTTCCTTCGAAACCAGACGACTAACGATGCAAGCCCCTCTCAGGCTCACAGCAAAGATTGCACTGGCCGATGGGCACCCCGATAGGCACGCAGCCCTCAGAGGGGGCCCATACATCAGGCGCGGCGACCTCGTCCTTTCCCCCGCCCACCCGAGCTCGCCCCCCGCCTCCCACTCCCGACGTGTCGGCCACCACGGCCTCGATTCGAAGGCATATTAATTACTGGGATCTCAGGAGCTGTTGTCACTGCGATACCTTCTGGAAGACTAACTGGGGTCCTACTTACTGCCCGAGCAATCTGATCCTGCGTCACACTACCTGCTGCTACAAGTAATGCTAGTCTCTCACTACTGGCCATCATCGGAAATCTGCCGGCTAGCATATCACGACTGTCCTGAACACTGCTATCCCTTTCTGGCGCCAGCTGAGGGGGCGCCTCACGTCCTACTTGTGGTCCTTGCGATCGAGAAACTTCGATATCTCCCTCTCCAGCGGTCCCCGCGGGGCCGCGCCCGAAAGGAAGGAGCCCTCCTCCACCGCCACCAGCGTCTCCACCATCGGGCCGATCACCGCCCCCATGTTGTGATGAAGATCCACTTTGAAGAGAAAAGTTGCCTTGTCTTTCTGGCCCTCGACCTTGCGATGAATACTAACGCGGAAGTACTGGACTGCACGGGCGATATCTGACAGCGGAACCTTCGCGAGCTTCTCGTCCCAGAACGTGCGCATGTCCGCCTTGAGCTTCTCGGCCCTCTGTTTGATAAGAGGGTCCGCCTCCTCTGCCACCGTCTTGGTGGCTCCGTACTCCCATACTGCCATAAAGATTTGTTGTAGATGAGGAGCGGCGCGTCCTTTGTGATCCACCGTCTCGCCACCGTCTGCGCGCTTCTCCATCTCTTTGCTCGTCTCGTTGTACGCCACTCCTGCCGCGACTGCGGCTGCGATCATGCCCTGGCCTGCGTCCAACTCGTACCTCAAGTACACCACGGCTCCGAGGTCGGCAAGCTCTCGACTGTTGGCCAAGATTAGCTTGCAGATGACCACGATGATTTTGCCGAACGGGATGCGACCACCCTGGCTGCCCGACTCCTTCTTGCGTTTGGCGTCGGGCTGAGTGCCATCGGCTTCTGGGGAGGCGGCACTCTTGAACCAAGCAGGTCTCTGGAGAGCCTCGACTTCCATGATGAAAGCCGTGAACGTCGGTACTGATCGTACGAGTAGTTGATATGAAGGGCGCGATCTGAACTGGCAGATGGCTTCGGAGATGGCGACAGAGAGACAGCGTATCCTCCCCCACATAGTCACAGCATGGGCACTCATAGGACGGCGGGGTAACCATCGGGGCCAATGTACGAGGTCCACATGTGAGGCAGTTTCCCTTCTGTAGTGATCGTAGTAGATGACGGGCAGCAGTAACTTGCGTTGCGAAAGTCTGTAAACAGTGAACGCCTACGCTGCTAGGTGTTAGTACATGTGCTAGGTTGCGTAGTTGATGACAATGCCGTAGATGTTCCAGTAGCTGCTTACGAGTACTGAAGGCGCTCTTACAGGGCTCCCCATTGAGGTCCATCTGGCACACGAAGGGCAGCTCAACCTCTGCGTGATCTTCAGGCTCTTCAGGAGGGACCACTGGTGGAGCATATCCAGGAGGGGGGATGCAGACAGAGAAAGCTTGGCTCCGAAGCTCGGTCAGATCCACCCTCTGAAAATCTTCTGAGGCCTCCAGGTCGGTGAGAATACGCAAGTCATTGGCAACATCTCGCACGCTCTCGTAGGGGGGCATCCTGGAGACACGATCCAAATCGGACGCCACCTGTTTTGTCCACGGCGAAGAGTTCGGTGCAGGCCGTCCTGCACCCAGTTGAGGTCGCATGAATTCAATGGGAGACGACCCAAATAATGCGCATAAAATCTGAGTGTGTTCCTCAGGGTGCGCACTCCAAGACTGATACAGCTTAACTCTGCGAGTCAAGAGCTCCAGCGAGGAGGGAACCAGCTTCCAATGCTCAAGTACCTGTTTAGTCGATAGCGATTTCACGCGCGGGCCCTCCCAGGAAGTAGCTTTCTCCATCATAGCAATACGCCCCAGACGAGCCAGACAGCCATCTAAAATCGTAGTGTCCGTCTCCGTGACCACGAAACTTTCGAGTCCACTTAGTAAAGCGTTCTGAACGAACCCGATGAAGAGACTGCGTTTCCACCTTTTCGGGATCCCAAGACTCCACGCCCTGCCCAGGGAGAAAAAGCCCGAACGAGCCGCCGAACACCTCCTGGAAATCTCAGACCTAGCCGAAGCGCTTAGCTGCAAATAAGGCCCAAAATATCTAGCTTGTTCCCGAACGGAGCCCTGGAGGAGAGAGGGGTCTTGGCGGAGCAGCTGGCGACACTGATAGCCACGGGCAGCGAACAACATAAGGTACTCCTGCTTGGTGCTGTTCTGGCCGTAGCCAAAATCCACAAGATAGGAGTCTAATGTGGCATCAACCGTCTCAATCTTGGCTGTGAAATCACTCAGCGACATCTGCGGGTCCGCCAGGACAAAACTGTTGATATCGTCAGCGAACTTGTACGTGCTCAGGTCGGCTTGGAGTCCCTGCCAAGATGCTCGCAATCGCTTCGACTGAACATCAGCTTGGGACTCTCCATGCCTCCAAGACAAACTTGGGCGTGCGAATGTACCCACAAAAGCTCGGGCAGCAAAAGGATCCCCCATCGTGTTCCCCTGTGAAGGTCGAACTGTGAGAGGGCCCTCAAGCGCGTCCAGCGAAATAATAGCATTCTTATATCGTTGTTGGCAAAGTGCGTGATCACATTCACGAGAGTGAAGAAGTACGGTTGTGTCCAGCTGGTCCCATAGAGAACTGCCAAACGCGTTAGACATGTCCTTGAGCGTCATGGCATGTGTGATACCTTGGGCCCGCAGACGCCACGAGGTGATCAAAGCCCCCATGACTGCGTCCTCCCGTCGGCGGTGTCGATAGTAGCCGTGGTCCTGAACAGCTGGTGGGGGTCTAAGCAAAGTCGAGTAGTACGCCTTCCCAAAAGCTGCCATCACATGAACCACCCGACGACCACGGGGACCTGCTAGACTGGATTTGCGTAGGCCTGCTCCTTCTGTCCGATGCCAGTAGAGAGGGCTAATGTTGTGCATCCTGATCTTCGCCAAGCCCACTTCTACCAGAAATTTGAAACCTGAGTTTGTCGGCACACTCATGTCGGATCCCACGCCCTGGCCACGACGCTGCTTAAGAGCCTTCTTTGGGAGGAACAGCATCAGCCAGAGCTCCAATGGTGCCGTAAAATCTGGAACTGCTCGTCGTTTAGCTGCGTGTCTCATCCACCGAATAACTCGATTCACATCCTCTTTACACAAATCAATAATTTCCTCAGAAGACTCCCACCAACACTGCTGACCATCACGTTCTGCACGCCATTCGAGCCAAACCTGGGGTTGAACAGCCATCCCTCCCTGAGAACCTTCAAGAGACCACACATCCAGCCACGCCTGCGAGGTAGGTGCTGCTGTTCGAACAAGAAGCCCATCGCGTTTCTTAGGTCCTATACGAGTGCGTGCCGCCCTACGTGCCACTCTCATTGCTTCCGCCTGCTTCTGGTGATTCCACAAGTCCGTAGCTTCCGCCACCAACTGCGATCGAAGAGCACGAGATGCTTTGCGTCGGAGAAGACGCTGTTCTTGAGAAGTGCGCTTCAGCTCGTTGTCGATGTGCTGGGCCTCCTCAGGGGAGGCATCCATCTTGCCTTCGCGTAAGTCTGCACGTTGATGCAAAAGAAGCCGTCGTGCCTTGCAGTCTGCCTGCCTCTGCGCATCACCGTCGAGCGTCGTCATGTTGAAATGAGTCTGTCCCGCCGTCGTAATACAATCCTCCAGCACCTCAAAGATCTCATCGGGGGAACCATACTCTCGCAAATAGTTATATGCGCCTCGCTGGTCAAGTTGTTCCTGAACCGAATTGAGAAAGCTAGCCTTGTTCTGTCCATGTTGCAGAGCCAACATCATCTTGTCACGATCCCATCGAAGACGGGTCTGCGGGGCTGTCGGCCCATAGTGTGCTGCGAATACCACAAAGTACATTCTAAAGGTAGGTGATCTCGTGGACTGGGACCTTGGAAAGCCTGGAGCCGAGCACCGAGTCTATGAAGCACATGTGCGTGAGCGATTAAGCCCTCCATGCCCGTGGGGATGAACAAATAATCAATGCGAGACTTGCCACCATCCTGACCGAAATTAGTTGGAATAACAGACGTCCCACGTGCGTTGGTCGCCATCATCTCATGAGTCTGAAGGAGTTCGCGAAGCTGCTCACCTGCTCCTTTGCGAAGGCGCTCCGGTGACGGGGAATGCACCACCACTGTCTCGACCGATGCTCCTCTCCCTCCTGCAGGCAGGCCGATCCCGTCGTTGGCACCACAGTAGATCACAGGCGTCGTTCTCTGCGGCAGCTCGGAGAGGACAGTGCGGAGCCAATCAATAAGAACACGAACAGTACGAAAATACAGTGGGCG